GCCTCATCTAATTGAAAATTAATTTTGTTCACATTTTGAAAGTAATGTAAACATTTTATTGATTCAAAATTATGGACCTCTCATCCAAAAGCATATTAATTTCAGTTTCTAATGTTCTGTATTAATCAAAACTAAACTACCTCCCTAAGAGCTCCAACTTCTATAGTTGATCCATATGTGAAGGTATAATGTTTTCATGAGACTACCAGGCCCTATGATTACGAATTAAGATATACGTAATTAAGTCACAAAAATGAAAAGTAAATAACAATCAATAAAATGTTTAATTAAGTCACAAAAAAAGAAAAATAAATTATTTTTTTTTTAATCAGCTTATATTTTTTAAATATCATCATTTATAAATTATTATCCAAACATATCATTCCTCCTTTTTATTTACATCGTCTCATCTAATTGAAAATTAATTTTGTTCACATTTTGAAAGTAATGTAAACATTTTATTGATTCAAAATTATGGACCTCTCATCCAAAAGCATATTAATTTCAGTTTCTAATGTTCTGTATTAATCAAAACTAAACTACCTCCCTAAGAGCTCCAACTTCTATAGTTGATCCATATGTGAAGGTATAATGTTTTCATGAGACCACCAGGCCCTATGATTACGAATTAAGATATACGTAATTAAGTCACAAAAATGAAATGTAAATAACAATCAATAAAATGTTTAATTAAGTCACAAAAAATGAAAAATAAATTATTAAATTTTTTTTAATCAGCTTATATTTTTTGAATATCATCATTTATAAATTATTATCCAAACATATCATTTCTTCAAAACAATTCAATCGCCTCATCTAATTGAAAATTAATTTTGTTCACATTTTGAAAGTAATATTAATTTCAGTTTCTAATGTTCTGTATTAATCAAAACTAAACTACCTCCCTAAGAGCTCCAACTTCTATAGTTGATTCATATGTGAAGGTATAATATCCCAACAAAGTTATATTATCACTCAATTTTTTGGATATCAGAGCAACTAAATAAGCCAAATCAGATGTTTTGTGTTCCATTGAGAAAGAAGGCCAAGAAAAAGTTTGGGTTGTTTGTTCTATGGTGGGCTCCATCAGAAAGTGGTTATCCTTGGACTTCTAATATTGGGTTTTGATGATATGTTGCAACCTGTTACATTGAAATTGAGATCTCCATTTCTTGCCACAAATGGAGAGGAGCCAAACCAAAGCAGCTAAATAAGCTTATATATCAATAGGTTTAAGTTAAGAATTATGATTCAAAGCAATTAAATTGGCTTATCTATTGATGGGTTTAAGTTAAGAGTTATGGATTCGAACTAAACCATTAGCAATAACCAAACTAAGAAATTTTCATAATGTGAGCATGGAGGATTAATTAAGACAGTCTTTTAACGCCATAGTAGCAGCAAATTAAACCAAATAATTGAATATCCTAAACTACCTCCCTAAGAGCTCCAACTTCTATAGTTGATTCATATGTGAAGGTATAATATCCCAACAAAGTTATATTATCACTCAATTTTTTGGATATCAGAGCAACTAAATAAGCCAAATCAGATGTTTTGTGTTCTATTGAGAAAGAAGGCCAAGAAAAAGTTTGGGTTGTTTGTTCTATGGTGGGCTCCATCAGAAAGTGGTTGTCCTTGGCCTTATAATTTTGGGTTTTGATGATATGTTGCAACCTATTACATTGAAATTGAGATCTCCATTTCTTGCCACAAATGGAGAGGAGCCAAACCAAAGCAGCTAAATAAGCTTATATATCAATAGGTTTAAGTTAAGAATTATGATTCAAAGCAATTAAATTGGCTTATCTATTGATGGGTTTAAGTTAAGAGTTATGGATTCGAAGTAGACCATTAGCAATAACCAAACTGAGAAATTTCCATAATGTGAGCATGGATGATTAATTAAGACAGTCTTTTAACGCCATAGTAGCATCAAATTGAACCAGATTATTGAATATCCCAAACTACCTCCCTAAGAGCTCCAACTTCTATAGCTGATCCATATGTGAAGGTATAATATCCCATAAAAGTTATATTATCGCTCAAATTTTTGGATATCAGAGCAACTAAATAAGCCAAATCAGATGTTTTGTGTTCTATTGAGAAAGAAGGCCAAGAAAAAGTTTGGGTTGTTTGTTCTATGGTGGGCTCCATCAGAAAGTGGTTGTCCTTGGCCTTATAATTTTGGGTT